ACCTTGACTGAACAGGCGCCAGGCTCTGGCCAACCTAGAGGTCGTCCCTCCAGCATTGATGCTGTGTGGCTGGCAGGTGGGGGAGAAGGGGACTTGGTGGGTCTTTGTGCTGTTTTTCCTTTTCTACACGGGAACATGGCGCTATGGGTTCAAACTACAGCAAAGCAATTTAGCAGATTTACCTCAGGAAAAACTGCCGAGCTGTAAGAGCAGTAGGACAGAGGTCTAGAGAGGTTGTGGAAGCTCCTTCACTGGAGGTTTTCAAAGGGAGGCTGGAGCCACCTGTCTGGGATGGTTTAGACACAACAAATCCTGCATCTCGGCAGGGGGTTAGACTAGATGACCCTTGCAGTCCCGTCTAACCCTCTGGTTCTATGATTTTAGGACTGAAGGGACTTCTAGGTCATGGAGTCCAGTCCCCACTGTCGCAGGCAGCCCCCTCATAAAGCCCTGATCATAAATTTATCACGCTCTGGCTTGAAATTAATTAGGTTGTTTGCTCCCACCGCTCCTATTAGGAGGTTGTTCCCAAACCTCATTCCCAGCGCCAGGTGGGTCACACCCACGTCCTTCCATGGTGTCCCCAGTGCGGGGACGGGGAGTCACGCTAACGTCCTTCCACAGTATCCCCCGTGCTGAGTGGTTCATGCTCACGTCCTTCCACAGTGTCCGAAGTGCCGGGCCACATCCTTTCATGGTGTCTTAAGTGCCAGGCGTGTCACGTTCACGTTTTTTCACATTGTCCCCAGTGCCGGGTGGGTCATGCTCATGGGACCTGTGTCCCCTCTTTGCCTTCCAAAGGCAGAAATATCCTGGAAACCTCCCACGGCTGATAAGAATGCTACAGGCTCTTTGTGCTGTTAGAACTGATACAATTACATAGGCTCCCTGATGCTGCCCAAAGGGAGAGCATGGCACCTCACTGCCATCTTTCTCCCCTCCCTGGGATCATTGCCTGGCACAGGCTAGCACCAGGGAGGGTGCATGGGACAGCAAAGAGTTGGCATGGGCTCTGTGATAGGAGCTATCACTAGTGACCTGACAGGCACTACTGGGACTAGGAGGATTGGGGCTCAGATTTTCCCATGAACACTTCAGCACTAAGTGTCATTCAGACACTGAATCCACAGTGCTGAGCTACTTGACTTCACAAGGTACCTTTGCTAACTTGAGATCTGGGGTTCACGTGCAGTGTGTGTGTGGGGGTGTGACAGAGTCAGTCAAACAGACCCCCTTGGGACTGTCGGAGAATAACAGAGTTCTCACTTTTTGTTTGGGTACAGCAAGTCAGATACTTTATTTTCTCTAACAATTGCTTAGAGGGAGAGAGCTAAACAGGTCTCTCTACAGGTAAACAATTACAGCAAACCTTTATATCTTTCATTACAGACAATAATAAGCAACAGCTGCATTTTGTTTATACATAGGCCATCTTGATATCTTATTTTTCTCACTTGTTTTGACTCTAGTCTACATACAATATTTTCTACACATTATCTACACAAGGTCGCAACAACTTCTCACACAGTTCTTTCCTACTCGCCTCACACAATCCTCGCTTCTACAAATCTTGCGTTATTAGGGTTACAGTTAGCCTGACTCTTGCTAATGAACTGTCATGCATTGCATCCCCTTCCTGTCAGTTCTTTCTCTGCTTCCACAGGACTGTCACCTGATGTTCTGAGATTACCTCTGAGCCCGTTTCTCCTGCCATTTGGGACTTCAGAACCCAGTCTTGTTCAGCCAGACACGCCAGTCTGTTACAACACAGACCCAGGGTCTGAACCACGCCCCCAAAGCTGCAGACTTTAACCCAAAACTGCTCAGCATGTCACATATCTCCAGCACCCAGACACCCAGCTCCCAATGAACAGCTGTTTGCTCCCCCAGGTATTAATCACTTACTCTGGGTTTATCAATAAACAAAAGTGATTTTATTAACTATAAAAAGTATGATTTAAGTGGTTCCAAGTAATAGCAGACAGAACAAAGTAAGTTACCAAGCAAAATAAAACAAAACATGCAAGTCTGAGCCTAATACATTAAGAAACTGAATACGGGTAAATCTCACCCTTAGAGATGTTCCAATAAGCTTCTTTCACAGACTAGACACCTTCCTATCATTTCCCCTGGTACAGTTCTTGTTAGCTCCAGCTCAGGTGATAACTCCAGGGATTTCTCATGACTGGCAGCCCCCTTTGTTCTGTTCCATCCCCTTATATATCTTTGGCACAAGGCGGGAATCCTTTGTCTCTCTCTGGGTTCCCACCCCTCCTTCCAAATGGAAAAGTACCAAGTTAAAGATGGATTCCAGTTCAGGTGACATGATCACATGTCACTATAAGACTTCATTTCCCACTTTCTGGCACCCACATATACAGGAAGGCTTACAAGTAAACCGAGCCATTTACAACCAATTGTCCTGGTTAATTGGAGCCATCAAGATGCTAAACCACCATTAATGGCCCACACTTTGCATCATTACAATAGGACCTCAGAGTTATATATCATATTTCTAGTTTCAGATACAAGAATGCTACATTTATACAAATAGGATGACCACACTCAGTAGATTACAAGCTTTGTAATGATACCTCACAAGAGACCTTTAGCACAAAGCATATTTCAGTTACATTATATTTACACTCATTAGCATATTTCCATGAAACATATGGAGTGCAACGTCACAAGGGGTTTCTCTGGAAGGTAGTGAATAGCCTTTATTTACTGAATAGTATTTATTTACTGGGCTGGTGTTTCCAAAGCTACTTAAGGATATGGATTCCCTGGGAAAACCACCTCTTCAGCGCTGGCTGCCACAAACCCGAACTGTGCCAAAGAATCACTTATTAGCCCCAAATATCATTGCTTCACTTCTGATCCGGTGTCTTTCCCCAGAACCACAGCAGCTGTGCCTCAGGTCACCTGTCATAGAGACACAAAGCACATAAACCATGAAATCACCAGCACAGACTCCAACGGGACAAGCGGGCTGGGTGGGAGTGGTCACAGCAATGCCCCGCCCACGGGGCAGGAGGGAACTATAAACACCATCCCTCCAGCCAGCCTGCACCTGCAGCAGCTTCCAGCTCCATGCGTGTCCCTGCAGAGACGGCATGGGTGAGTCTGGGCTCTCGGAGCAGGACAGCAAATGTGCCACTCCACTCTCTGCACTGCTGTATGCACCTGCATGTTCGAGAAAGCTGCTGTTTCCTCTCCTGCCACCTTGCTTTCCTAGGGTACCTCTAGCCCCTGCTATTTCTGCTCCCAGTGCCTCAACCTCTCCCTGGAAAACACTTCACATGCCACAGCCTTTGAGTGCCTATGACAGCCGGTGCTCTTGAGGGGAGCTGGGGGAGTCGGGGGCATATTGCTTTATAACCTTTGTACACGAGTCTGGAGTGCCGGAGGGCCCGTTTGACAAAATCCAAATCAATCAATAACTTGCTGTGTTTCCTGCCCTCCTAGGAAATAGCAGAGTGGGAAATGGGCAGTGCAGCGATTTAATTGCCTGCATTATGCCCCTTGCTGTGCATGTGCACGTTGCTCCGCCTCGGGGGTGGCCCTTCCTTCCAGGGAAGTCATGAACGGGGAACAACCCCTCGCTGTATTGGCTTGTGCACTGAGTTGCCAGTACCACTAATGTCCATCAACCTTTCCTGGCCTAATGAATGGCTCAGAGTAGGTGAACAGGTACAAGTGTGTGAGAGCGAAAGCTAACCAGTAACTCACACAAAATGGGTCTCTCCTAGGGAGGAGTCTAGCGCAGGCAATGCTGCACTACTAGACAAACCATCCCTGCCTAGAAGGGACAGTCCCCGTTTGCGGGTTTCCCCACCCCAGCCCTAGGAAGCTCTCCTCTTCGTGCAGCCGGCTCCGCTAACGGTGGGAGAGCTCTCAGATGCTGGCAGGAAGGCAGCGAGAAAGTGTCTGAGCCTGCTATGATGAGATACATCTCCTCTTACCGGATAGAGGCCCCAGCATCAAAGTTTTCCTGCAGTTTGTGACATATGGGAGCCACTGTGTTGTACACGGTTTATTTGTATTCACACAGACAGCACTAACACATGGAAATAGAAGCTCTGAACTATAATTAAACTGAAAAAGAGGAAAACTCCACGGTAGCATTAAATACTAAGATACATGTGTTAGTAACTGCATTTAACAGTCGAAGGGAGAGAACACTTCAGCCAGCCTAGAAACCAGGGTGCGGCAACCTTTCAGAAGTGGTGTGCCAAGTCTTCATTTGTGCACTCTAATTTAAGGTTTCATGTGCCAGTCATACATTTTAACGTTTTTAGAAGGTCTCTTTCTATAAGTCTATAATATATAACTAAACTATTGTTGTATGTAAAATAAATAAGATTTTTAAAATGTTTAAGAAGTTTCATTTAAAATTAAATTAAAATGCAGAGCCCCCCAACCGGTGGCCAGGACCCAGGCAGTGTGAGTGCCACTGAAAAACAGCTCGCGTGCTGCCTTTGGCACACGTGCCATAGGTTGCCTACCCCGGCTATGAACCGTAAAACCAGACAGCTGTCACTGTCCTTGTTAAAATCCCATCAGTTCCTTGCAGGACAGGGATGTTTGCAGCAGTTATGCCAAGGGCCATGACTTCCCCGCTTGTGGTTGTTATGGCTAGTGCTGTGTGTTATGGCTCATGCCAGACGTTTCTTGAGGGACACGTGCTGGGCCGTCTGGTGGGGTTTTGCCTAATGCTGTCCGGTTCTGTCTATTGAGCTAGGTTCTTAGCCCTCACCCATCCTTGCAGTAGCTAAGCCCCTTTCTGGAAAATACAAACAACCTGCTTTCCTGCAATAGCAATGATGCACTTTGCTGCATAATGGGAACATTTATCCTCAATCTGCAATTTGGACTATGCCCAGGTGCATTCTCAACACCAGGCTCTGAAAGCCAGCACCCCTAGTTCCAGTCCATGATGCTGAGAGCCAGGGCAATGCAGAAGAGTTACTCACCTGTAGGACCTTGCAAACTCCCTCTACAGGCTCTGCTTTTAACCACTTGACTTCGTGAGGAAGGTTTGTTCCTGATGCTGTTCGCTTTTGTTCTGGGTTAAGAATTTTTCGCTGTTGTTGGCTCTTGAAGCACTAGTGTACCCTGTGGATCTGTCCAGTTGGTGAGTCTGGTGTGACTTTGGAGGAGCTGGGTCAGTTGTGATTCTCAGCTCCTTGAAGGGAGGGTTTGTATTTCTAGTGTCATTCCACCTTTTCCTTTTTTCAGCTGCCCAGCACCTCCTGCTCCTCACCTGCCTGCTGGCCCTGTCAGCCACCGTTCTCGCCCTGGACATAGAAAACCTGAATATCTTCAATGGAACTTCAGATAAAATTCTGAACCTCAGCCCAGCAGATCCTGTGCCTGGTATGCAATTTATCTCTGCTGTCCTTAAACACTGCTCTTCTGAGGTCCTGGAGGCCCAGACCCTCCACACAGACAGAACATGAGCAAGAGGGACCAGGTGTTATTGTGTTAGAGAGGGACAAAGCAGTTCAGATCCAGTAAGAACCTCTACAGACCTTCATCCCAACTCAAACCAAACCCCAGCAGTTTGAGATTTGGAAGTTCAGACCATTTCTTCATTCTGCATTCTCTGGCTTCAGCAAAAATTCCATGAGAGCTTTGTTCTCTGTATTTCTGTCCCATCCAATACCAGGAAGTACCCGAAATCTTTGTGAAAGGAGCTGATCATTTCATGAGTCTTCAGCCCACTTTCAGAGAAACGATGCATAAGATACCCAACCAAAGTGCCCTGCCTTCTGTGGGTCACCCAGCACAAATCATATTGAGGCGTTAACAATGCTACAGCACAGAGAGGCTCTACTGGGAACTTTACCTTCTGGAACCTAACGTTAGGGCTACCTTTGAAGTGGGAGCATGGCAATCACCTGTCTACCTGGCACCCACTAGCCTGAGGGAACCAATTTTCAAATCTGCCTGTGGGATCTGGGTGCCCAATTCTCATTAAAATTCATGAGAACTACTGCCCAAATCCCTGGGGGACCCTGCCAATCTCAGGCTCCAGACACAGCAGAGCAGATGGGAAGGAAATTCTGACATTTTGAAAATTCCTTTCACCCTGAATGAGAATGAAAAGTCAGAACTTTAAATTTCCTGTAAACCCCTGAAGTCCTAATATAAAACTAGGCAATGAAACGATGAGGTAGCCTAGGCTGATAGCAATGTAATTACAGCATCTTCCGTGGCCACACCTTGCATTCCTCCTGCCTTGTGCACAGCCACCAAAGCAGTGATCACTAGACAGCCAGAGAACTTTTCACTGTTTTGATGACTTTCTCTGCCCTGTGCTGATTGGCCATTTGCTCCAACCCCTCCCTCACAATCTCTTCCCCTCAGCTTCACTCCACATCTGCCCCTCTGACCTCTGCTCCCCTGCCCAGGGCCCCTAATCCCTTTCCCTTTACGTCTCTTTCCATTAACTGACCCCCTCTGAACTAAATTCACCCGCACAAAACTGTGGCACTACCATGCTGTTTGCTGCCATCCCATTGCACCACTGCTGGTGCTGGTGTTTCTACACCTTCCCCCATGCTGTGTCTGGCAGGTCTATCTGGATAGTCAGCTCTTCGGGATAGGAACCATCTGCTCTACTCTACTTGTGTATGGCACGTACTGCTTGGCTTGGCCTTAGGCACTACGGCAATAATATAATTAATAAATCACTCCAGGTTCCAGCTCTCCAGACTCCTGCACGTGCACAATGGTGATGTCCGCCCACCTTCTGGCATGAATCACTGACACCCCAAACAACTCCACCGGATTCCCACTCATTTCAGGAGCCAGTTCAAATAGCAACCCCCATATTTTTTAAATCCTCCATGAATTTACCCTTGATCCCATCCTAGAATTGTTCTCTCTTTATTTCCCTTCCAGCTGTCCCTTCTTCTCCACCAGTGCCCTGCTCCACCCTTCAGACAATCTTCTCACCATCACTGGTGGAAGAGCTTTCTTCTCTTCGCCGCCTGAGGCCTGGATCAGCCGCCCCATCACTGTAACTCATCAGCTCTCCAGCCATTGCTTTTCTTCCCCCTTGAACTCTTCCCTTACCCAGCTTGCCGTTATTTAGCATTTGATTCTGTAAATTTGGAGGTAGAATTTGTCCCAAAGATGCTAAACAGGGAAAAGAAAGCCCTAGTGTTGGAATCACCCCGGTGGGAGGGTGGTCACAATAAACATCAGTTTCTCCACCAGGCTATGAAATAGCAGCTGCTGCAGCTGTTCTCCGATTGTTTCATCTCTGTCTGTGTAGTGCACACTGTCCCAGAGAATGTCAACTCACGACAGGACACTCCTCTGAGCAGAAACTTCTTGTTTCGTGGTGCCTCTCCATGCACTAGTCTCTGCCATTCTTGGCACTGCCGACTGGCACTGATACCCTGATGCACTGAAACCATGTTCCTTCACACACTACCTTGCCACTGTACGTCCTGTTTGGGTCCCGCTGAGGATAAAAATGGCTGGTACAGTGGAGCTGATTCCTGGATGCCTACTACACACTGGGTGCACAAATCACTCATAGCAAGGGAAGCAACAGCCTGGATATGAAGCAGTGCCAGCACCACTGAAGCAGAGAGCATGCCCTGGATTAGAGCTACCCTTGGCTAAGCGGGAGCTGAGGGTGGGAGCCTCAGACAGTTCCACGCAGGTTTATCTGATACGGCATCACCTAAACTGTGAGGAGTCTCAAAGGATTTAGGAGAAAGATGAGAAGTAAAGAAGTGGCCGGAGTTATCTGAGCGCAGTGATATTGTCCAGCAGATAAACCTCTTTCCTGGGGCTGGAACAGGGTCTGATATCTCTGCTCTGTTCTCGTCCATACAGTGCACAGTGCAGGACACAGCCAGGGGAAGCAAGCCAGTGACACCCGACCACCAGCAGGACGTGGTAAGTATCTCACTGTGGAATAGCTGTCTGCTCAGTGCACCTCCTGTTAGCTGAGAGCCCAGAAGAACTGGAGATAGCTCTATTCGGCTAGCGTCAGGCAGCAAAGGGCTGGCAGAGGGCAGGACACACCATAAGTAACAAAAAATGAACATAAGTTCCTGGAGGATAAGTCCATCAATGGCTATTAGCCAGGATGGGCAGGGATGGTGTCCCTAGCCTCTGTTTGCCAGAAACAGGTAATGGGCGACAGGGGATGGATCACTTGATGATTACCTGTTCTCTTCATTCCCTCTGGGGCATCTGCATTAGCCAGTCGGAAGACAGGATACTGGGCTAAATGGACCTTTGGTCTGACCCAGCCTGGCCGTTCTCATGTGACAGCCAAAGTGAATAATTTGCAAATGCCTCATTGGCTGAAAGCATCTGACATGTACTTGCAAACTACAAAACCATGAACAGAACGCAGGGTTGGTTTGTGAATTATCTACTAACCAAAAGGGGCTAAATTAATAATAGGATTGATAATGAATACTTCACCAGCCCGGAGAAAGAGTAATAGGAGAGAGAAAAGACAAAGCACAGAAATAAGAAAGTAAGTGGTGTCATGCTGCAGAGGAAAGGGAGTTAAAGAAATGCAAGAAAACACCAAGCAAAATAAATAGGACTTTTGGCTCATTAATTTATATTTGATTCATTTCTGCTCCTTTATATTATGTACTTCCTTGCAGATCATAGAATCATAGAATCTCAGGGTTGGAAGAGACCTCAGGAGGTCATCTAGTCCAACCCCCTGCTCAAAGCAGGACCAACCCCCAGGTCTGAGGGCTGAAATTTTGGAGGAAAGGGGAGGGGCAGCATTTCTGAGCACACTTCTACTATTAATATTGCTGGCTGCTCTGGATTCTAGGGTTAAGTAATCGGAGAAAGAAATTAAAATTCCCCCAAGCCCTTGAGGCTGATGGAAGCTTAGCCACCTCTCAGGAGAGAATCCAAACTGAGGCGGCCACACGCAGTCGAAGTGTTTGGGGTGAGCCAGACGGGGCCAGGCCAAGCTTCCAGCAGCTTCCAATCTGCCAGCTCCTCGCAGGAGGTGATGGTTTTCAAACTGGGGGCTGTGCTGGGAGGACATGCCCCCAGTTTGAAAACCTCTGTGCTAAAGGGAAGGCTGAAATCTGATGGGACACATGACCCCACGTGCCCCCCATGTTGACCCCACTTTTATGGCCCCATGGCTTTACACCCTGGTTGGCTGCCCCACTTGCCCCACCCTTTTTACGGCCTTGTTGAATATTTTGGTGTCTAACTTCAGGGGATTTGGTTAAATCTGCCTCTCTCTCCTGCCATCAGCCTGGCCCAAGGACTGCAGTGAGATCCCCTCAGGCAGCCCCAGCGGCATCTACCTCATCCAGCCCACAGGACTGCACCAGCTCGTGGTGTACTGCGACATGAACGAAACAGCCGGGGGCTGGACGGTCCTCCAGCGGAACCGGCGCGACACACAGATCACCTGGGCTGAGTCCTGGAGCACCTACAAGTACGGCTTTGGCAACGTGCAGGATGACTACTGGCTGGGGACGGAGTACATCTATCGGATCGCCAAGCAGAAGGTCTACCAGGTCAGGTTTGTCATCCACGATTCATCCGGCACCATGAAATACGCAGACTACAACCTCTTCGGTCTGGAAGACGAGTCCAAAGGCTACAGGCTGAGGCTGGGCTCTTACACTGGGACTGCAGGGGACGCCATGACTTCAAACAATCCTAGCACCGTGCATGACAACATGAAGTTCTCCACTAAAGACCTGGATCAGGACACTAACAGTGGGAACTGTGCGTCTAGCCATGGTGGGGGCTGGTGGTACTCGGCTTGTTATTCTGTTCGACTGAACGTCAAAGGAAGCATCACTTGGGGTGGTTTCTGTAGTGGGAACTGCCAAGCCTCTGCCATCCTCATCAAACCAGCATCCTACTGTTAGTCACCCCTTCCCCACCCTCCTGTCTGCAGTGAGGCCAACCCCTGCTCCACGAAGGGAGGGAAAAGGGTCAGAGTGTGTCATGGCCAAACCTCCCGCCCGCTCTCACAGGCCTTGCTTGGGGAAGTATCAGGGTTACCCAGGAAACGGGGCCACTTTCCTTCTCCTCTCTCTCCCTGCAGACTTTCCGAGCTCTTCTCCACTTGGCCCTTCCTCTTTCAGCTTTGGGTTGATTCATTTTAATTATATTAAAAATCAGAACAATTGTTTGCAAAAATTGTTGTTTCCAAGCATGCCATGTGTGGGGTAGAAAACATGCTCAGCCCTGCCGTGATTGTTCATTAGATTCAAAGAGCGCCCCCAGAGGTCACCAGAAACAGGACGCCATAAAGGCTGAAGAATTCTCTCACACTCTGTGTCTCCTCTGTAGTGGGTGTTGAAGCTTCAGAATAAAATTGCATTTCCAAAAGTTCTCTCCAATTGGCAGATATCCATTCCACGTCTCAGGGGCTCACCCAGTCTAACCTAGCTAGAGAAGCCATTCCTAAGGACAGATCTTTGGGATTGCAGTGCAATGGCCATTAAAAAGGAAAAACTAAAATATCCAAATAAGGAAATTAAATCCAGGTGTCTGAGTTTAAACACGAGAGATGTGACTCAGTGTAGGACATTTAAAAAGGGTTTTCACATTGGAATATCCTCTTCTTAGTAAGAGAGAGAACGATAGTCACGCATTATGGAGTTGTGGTCATGACTCAATACCATCGCTACATCTATATAGCACTTTCTGTTGTGTGACTTTGACAATCCCTTACTGTCCTCCTTCCATCATAGTTATTCTCTGGTTCCAGAGGAATGGGTCTGGGGAGTTTGCAGTAAATCTGACAAGCTACTTGCAAGTGCTAGGACTTATAAAAAGGAGGGTTTTCACTTTCCAAAATGGTTCTTGCCATTTCTTACCCAACTTGAACTCAAAATTCAAATGGCTGGTAGGCCCCAAGGACAATGGGGGATTTGGAAAGATACTGAAACTTAAACTCCTTAACGCTGGGCGCACCGGAAAGCGTCCTGCACCCATCATCTATGATGGATGTTTGTAGCATCTGGTGAGTTTGACCACTGATCAGTGACTATCTGCCCCAAACAAGCAGCACACATCTGTGACACTCCGTGGCTGCCAGCCTAGCTCCGCAGAGAGGGGAGATCACCAGTCACTTAACTCCAGGGAACCCCAAGACCTGAACTTAGCTGGAAGCCTGAACAAAGTGAGGTGTCCACATTGCTCCTGACCTCAGATTTCTTGCAGCAGGAGTGAGGCAAGGCAAGGGTATGCCACTGAGATCCACTATCCCCCTGGCCCATGATCGCCACCCTGAGAGTGACCCAGGATCCAGACCATCCAGGGGTTATAGACAGTAACCACCAGCACCTCGAATCTCCCCTGGATGTGAACTGGCAGCAAGTGCTGAGCACAGGGCAATGTATCCTCGCAGGCCTACCCTACCCCCGAGTACCTTGTGCTCCGGCTATAGCCTCTGGCCCGCCTTCGAGGGTGCCCTACGAAGAGCAGAGCCCTGCTTGAGATGGTGACTGCAGAGGTGAATGTGGCCAGGTCCACATGTGGGGGGGAGGGATAGCTCAGTGGTTTGAGCATTGGCCTGCTAAACCCAGGGTTGTGAGTTCAGTCCTTGAGGGGGCCACTTAGGGATCTGGGGTAAAATCAGTACTTGGTCCTGCTAGTGAAGGCAGGGGGCTGGACTCCATGACCTTTCAAGGTCCCTTCCAGTTCTAGGAGATGGGATATCTCCATAAATTAGTATTATATTTTTTTTAAATCTGACAGGAAGGGATGTGATCTCTGGGCCAGGCAAAGAGAAAGAAAATGTTCCTGGCCACTGCTGCCGCCTGGGGACTCGGGAGCGCAGGGCAGCATAGTGAGGCTCAGGGGGACGTTGCTGACACAGGGGGGCTGATGGTCTCAGCCGAGGCAGTACTCAGACTTTGCCACGTCCTCGAAATGCTCCCCCCACCACCAGCCCCTGGAGCTGCCAATAAACCGGCATTTCTAGATATTGCCATTCCCAGTTCATACCTCTCCATTCGCTGTCCTTGCTCTGCGGATGCCAGGCTGCCCAGCACTGTAATCCAGGTGGGGAGACAAAGTCAGTGAGGGAGCCCAGTTCCCATCCCTAGTCAGACATTGGGAGAGCCAGGACCCAGTTCTGCCTGGCTCATGGAGGAGGTGTAGAACTGAGTGTCAGGCCCCTGCACACAGCACCTGGTTCTCCTTTGCTTGTCTCCTGTGTCATCATTCACACCTGGGCAAAGCGCTGCCCAGTCCCAAATCTCCACCAGGGATTGGAATGTTGGCGTTTGTAGCATTTACCACCTGCTTGGCACCAGAGCTGTCATTGACGCCACAAGCAACGTGGTGGGAGAGAATCGAGGCCTGTATCTACAGTAGCATATACTGCACAGTGACATGGCTGACTGTCCCCTTGTTGGTCTGTCCGAGTGACCCCTCCGCTGTACAACCTCCTGTCCCTCCCTGTCTGGGATGGAGTCCTGCCATTCTCCCACTCTCAGACCGTGTTGCCTGATTTCTAAGGTTTATTAATTTGGATAGTATAGGTTTTAGGCTCGCCAATCTGTTTGATTAGAAGATAATAAGGTTCTTATCCTGAATCAGGCTCCATAGAATTTACAAAGGACCCTTGGGGGTATGACAGGAAGCTCACACTGAGGTCTAGTCTACACTATGAGTTTAGGTCAAATTTAGCAGCGTTAAATTGAATTAACCCTGCACCCGTCCACACAACGAAGCCATTTACTTCGACATAAAGGGCTCTTAAAACCGATATCTGTACTCCTCTCCGACGAAGGGAGTAGCGCTGAAATTGACATTGCCGGTTCGAATTAGGGTTAGTGTGGATGAAATTCGATGGTATTAGCCTCCGGGAGCTATCCCACAGTGCACCATTGTGATCGCTCTGGACAGCAATCTGAACTCGGATGCACTGGCCAGGTAGAGAGGAAAAGCCCCGCGAACTTTTGAATTTCATTTCCTGTTTGCCCAGCGTGGAGAGCACAGGTGACCATGCAGAGCTCATCAGCACAGGTAACCATGCAGTCTGAGAATTGAAAAAGAGCACCAGCATGGACCATACGGGAGGTACTGGATCTGATCACTATATGGGGAGAAGATTCCGTGCTAGCAGAACTACGTTTCTGTCATAACTATAAAGGGAAGGGTAACAGCTGTCCTGTGTACAGTACTATAAAATCCCTCCTGGCCAGAGACTCCAAAATCCTTTTCCCTGTAAAGGGTTAAGAAGCTCAGGTAACCTGGCTGGCATCTGACCTAAAGGACCAATAAGGGGACAAAATACTTTCAAATCTTGGGGAGGGGAAGGCTTTTGTTTGTGTTCTTTGTTTGTGTGGGTGTTAGCCCTCGGGACTGAGAGGGACCAGACATCAATCCAGGTTCTCCACATCTTTCTAAACAAGGCTCTCCTATTTCAAACAAGGCGTGTTA